TCTCCCGATCAAATTCTGGCCCAGATACTTTCCGTTATTTGTCATGTGTAATAATAATATCATGATCATGCAGATCATGATATTATCATTACAGCATGCCAAATAATTTATAGTTATCGTGCACTTTGTGCACGATAACTATTTTATCGTCTGGGTCCTATGTAACTGTTTCTGACGTCATAAACTTTTTTTTGATATTTAAGCTATTTATCATTTTCAATTTTTTTTATCATTTTCTTATCTGGATCCTAAAAAATGACTAGTAGAAATTTACACGAAGAAGCTGAACATTTAAAAAAACTATCTTATGTAGCTAATACTGAAAAAAACACTACTAAATGGCTCCGTCATGTTGACAGATATCGTCAAGCAAATAATATTGATAAAACGATTGATCAAATTGACAATAAAGCTGAACTCGATGAATTTTTAAGTTTGTTTATTGCATGGCTTACGAAAATTGACGGCAAATCATTTAAAGTTGAATCAATTAACAACTGTTATACTGCATTAGCATGCTATTTATGTGAAAATTCTTCAATTCTGGGTAACGTTAATATTTGGAACAAATACACTTTTTCAAGAGCAATCCGAGTTTTAGACGGCAAGATGAGATCATTATAAGATGAAGGTTATGGTGATACTGATAAAAGTGATTCCTTAACACCTAACGAAATAGTCTCTTGTTTAAATCATAAATATTTATCAATTAATAATAATAAAAGTTTGCTTCGTCGAGTCTTTTTTTGGCTTTCATTGTTGTGTGGCTTACGGGGTGGTAACATATACAAGTTACAATTTCGTGATATTGAAAAGCGAGTTGATGGTGGATTACAGTTGCGCTTATGAAAAGAAAAGAATAATCAAGGTGGTGTATTTTATCGTCAGCGATATGGTTGTATAAATACTTGATCTATTCCAATTCCAGCTGACAATCCCAAGAATCAATTTACACCCGTAAAAGATATATTATTGTATTTATCAAAACATCCTTCTGAATGTCAATCAACTGATGCACTATTTTTAGAATGCATTAGAAAAAAATCAGGTAATTTCAATTTTTATTAATGATATTATGTATATACGTACAAATATATTTTTGTTAATTTATTTTTATTAATATTAATACAAAGAATTAAAAAAAGGATTGATGTACAAGCCATCTAAAATGGAAGAAAAAAAACTTAAAATGATGCTTAATCAAATTGCAATTAATACTGGAATCGATCTTGCTGATGATCAAAAAATTACTAATCATAGTGCAAGACGTACAGCAATTACAATACTTAAGTGATCAAATGTTTCTGAAGATGAGGCAATGATGTTTTCTGGCCACAGATCTTGAGACGGAATTCGTGTATATAGTGACCCATCATATGATCAAAGACTTGCATCTACAGCATTATTGATTCCATATGCATCGCAAGAACAAGATTTAAATGAGTTTGATTCGAATGATATAATTGATAATCAACCGGAATGTAAGTTACAGTTACACATATTTAATAATTAATTTAAATGTATATATAATAATTTTTTTTTTAGCTTCAAATTTAAATATTAATGTATCAGATTTGGATAATTCAGCTATTGAAGAGTCTCACAATTCAGCTATTGAAGAGTCTTATGATTCAGCTGTTGAAGATTCACCCAATTCTGCTATTAAAGAGTCTCCCAATTCTGCTATTGAAGAATTACAAGATTCACAAGATTCACAAGATTCAATCGAAGTACTGTACTCACAGGATTTTCAAAAAGGTATTTAAAAATGTATTTTATTTTATATCAATTGTAATGTAAGTTTAATTTTTTTTTGTTTTTAATATATATAAGAAAATAATAACCTTACAACGAAAGAAATTACATTGCAAAAAAAAAAAACGTGCTGCCCCATATATTGATGGTTTAAATCCTAAAGTCCTCAAGCCATTTAAGATTCCTATGAATGATCCTGAAAAAATTAAACTATACAAGTATCGCCAAAGAACACCGTTGAAGAAAGCTACAAATAATATTATAATTCAACTTCTCGAAAGTGACAAACCACTTAACATTACTTTAAATATTTTACTTAATAATTAGATAATAATTTAATTTCTCTGCTAAGAAGTTTATGTAAATTCTTGCATATTTGCAATATTTTATAATGGCATGAATTATATGTAAAATCTATAACATTAAAGTAAATATATAAAATTGCACAATTTACTTATTCAGGCATATTATTATTAAGTCATATGACTTTAATAATAATATGCCCAAATAAGTAAACAAAAAAGTGTCAGTTGTTATATAGGACCCAGATGATAGCTTCAGTTATTGGATGCTTCACATCCAATAACTATATATTATCTGACATTTCATATAATCACGTGATTTTTTTGCACTGATATTTTTTGTAATCAGTTTTGCAAAACATCGCAGAAAAAACTTCACATGGTCATATTAACTATTGGATAACATCATTATTGAACATACATACGACAAATAACAGTCAATTGTTTTTTCATCGGAGTTAATTTCACTCATATGCTGCTATGCAGCACATGGAGTGACATTAATTTCGACAAAAAAAACAATTAACTGTTATTTTTTGTCATCTGTCCAATAATGTATACATATTCTAGTAGTATATTAATCTACATAGTATGCTAAAACACAATAAATAAATAATAAATTCGTATTTAAAATTAAAAAAATAATATTGCTATTTTTAACAGTTCAAAAGAACATAATGAGTACTTAATTTACAAATATCAATTAAGGTAATATTGTTAACTATAAACAATTTTAAATTTTTATTAAAATAAGTGTTTTTTTAGCAAAAATAAAGCAGAAACAGCTAAATTTTTGTTTAGTCGTATACAATATTTAACAAATTTTTATCAAAAAGTGATAAATAATTAGAAACAGATAAGTTTTTATTTAGTTGAGTGCAGTATATAAAAAATTGCAGGTTTTTTTTTACAAGGTCAAATGACTTAGTAAACATCATTAAATCGCACTTCTAATTTTTAATCATCAGTAATCATATGTTTCGCGGTTTTGAAAACATTGTATATAAATTGATTTTTTTAGCTATTTGATTTTTTTGTCAGATGATTTTCCTCCCAAATTATTTTGGCTTAAACAACGAATTATTTGAATACTAGAGAGAACCCATGCTGTTGAACAAGACTGTTAAAAGTTTAATGCTTTTAGTCTAGACTTAGTAAATAGGACTAATAAGAAAATGATTCTTGAATTTGCATATAATTCGCATTACTTTATTACTAAATAACTCTGGGTCTTGTATATTACTCTAATTTTTAAGCCTTTTAGTAGACCTGCGTTCTAGTACTTGCCCAGAGCTAAAAAAATTTAAAGTTTTAAACACCTTATATTTATAATAAACATTCTAGCTATTTGAAAACCCGCATTTAATTAATAAAGATTCTGTGGTTCATGCCCAGGTCTAATACATGGTGGTGGTTTACTATTTTTGGAGATCTTGTATATGAACTTTTATTTTAAATAAGCTTTATTTCAGTATTCTCATGCACTTAAATTAATGCGAATAAAATGAACTTAAGCGGTAACTATTTATGAACTTGGATATCTGATTTAAATGCTCAAATTATTATACTCATGCAATATTCATGCGTATAAATAGTAAATATAATGAACTTGATGAGCTGCCCGATATGATAGTATCAGAGCAGCATTTTGTCTCGAATCGAACACAGAGTCTAATTAATTGATCAAATGATTATTGTATTATTGATTTATTGCTTGATAAGTAGGGGCGTATTATGCAAAGGTTATAGCGAAATGATATAGTTTTTTATTTGCATTATGTAGTATTTTCGATTAGTAATCATAGCGTATTAGTTTAATTAATTGTGTAATTCTTTCGATTTGTGATTGTTAAAGTCAGTTATGACCCTATGCGTTGACGAAGTCACGCTAGGGTTATTATCGCGAGGATCACCCATTCGAATAAGTGTAACCCGA